GTGGGTCTTCTCCATTTCCTCCTGTAGGTTATATAGGGGGACATGTGGATTGAATGTATACTCTCTATCTGTGAAGGTGTTTTGCCAGGCAATCCTGTCCGGTTGTTTTGCCTACATATTTGTAAAATTTTGATCGTTTTCCTATGCGTTTCCATATTCTCTTAAATATGCTCCTTGTTTTTTTCCTTTAAGTATTAATTTTCCTAAATCCGTGAAACCTCTAACGTACTAGCATGGTTGGTGGTACAGTTGAGCACAATCTTTACATTGGGCTAATCTTTTGATTATAATTTTGCTTCACAAGCTGCATTTTAATGCTCAAAGTTTCCTCTCTACTTAAATCTTTCCTTTTAGTCTTTACATTGAGCCTCAGATACCTTGACATCTTAATCAATAACTTTCAATTTTGATTCAATATATGGAATACAAGCCTGCAGGTGTTCTAATGTAACTTCCATTTTGACCTTAATTGATAGTGCATTTAGCCTTTCTTTTACTGAGGAGATATATTTTGAATCTTTTGTTCGATCCTTCTCCCCATATCCTTCCTCTCTTATTAAATCCAGTTTTTGCACTCCGATAGGTTTCGAACTGTCAGTAGTCACCAATTAATCGAATTATCGCGCGAGAAAACCTGAGCAACCACGAGTAGCATAAAAATGTTCCCCATTCTACAGTAATCTGAGATGGCACATAACACAAATGGCTCCAATGTGCTTTATTACCTAAATGAAGACTTTGGGCAAGAATACGATTTGTCTTCATGCTATTGGGAATCTAATGTACAAATATCATTTGACTGATAACAGTTTTTGTTTCGAATAACTGTCGAACTGATAGGAGCGAGGTGCAACCACTTACTGCTAAGGCTGATGAGCGGACATAGTGGCGGATTGTTGAGATTGATAACCCAGAGATACTACAAAAATTCTTCATCTTTGCCCTATGTCCTGCTGCTTAATTCAAAGTAGTGTATGCATTATTTTCAAATCCTTGCTTCTACGCTTTTTTCGAGTAAGTTAGCAGTCGGATATCTTCATTTCTCTTGATGTCCGCGGGGGGGGGGGGGGGGAAATTCTGTGTAGTTATGTAGGCTGAAAGACAAAATGATTGGTTAAGTCAGAAGATATATTTTGTTTACCACGTTCTCTGTCTGTATAAGTTAGCAAATTAGGGGGAATGAAAAATTTTGGCTCAGACGTTTCTCATCCTTTGCATTGAATGTTTATATACTCAATGCCTTTGAGCCTCTCTCAGGCTTTATTTTTTGCTTGCCTTACGACATCGGGTTTGACATTTTTTTGCATCTTAGACACGGCTTTCTGCCTCCAAAGGAAGATATTGAACCCAGTCAATCAACTTCAATTCGATTCGCTCCATTGGATAGTGATTCTGACTAGTCCTCCAATTTTATGCAATTCAATTCCCTCTTCGCCTGCTAACTTATTTACTTCCTGAAAGCATACTCTACTCCCTTCTTTCCTCGTGTGTATAATATGAGTGGATTTTTGATGATCTCAAGTACATGTTATAAATTTCAATTTACTTTTGCTTTTGATCGGTAACTGGATCACGGTCCCGTCTTATAACTTTTGTATGTGGGGTATCAGCCCTAACTCGATTAAACTACGCACCCGAACATTCCGGCGGGGGGGGGGGTTGCGGCGGAGCGTACACAGGGACTTTAAGTTAATCGGCTATTAAGGTTCATTCAAGTTATTATGAATATTTTCATTTATTAATCATGTTTGTTGTGGTCATAATTTCATAATGAGGTAATTTCAATGAACTATACTCATTATACGTCTGCTTCTTCTATGCCATAGAGTTAGTTTAAAATAATTCTGGAAGCCTGTCATACAGACTACTGAAGATAAATCTAGGCTAATTTGTGTATCAATCTGTTACAGGTAGAAGTTTAAATTAGCGAAAAGTTAGTAGGAAGTGTTCTTTTTGACAATATTGGTGCGATCTTCCCCATTGGAATTGCATGACCGTAGGAACCGGGAACTCACTGAAATTGCTCAACAGTAGGGGAAACTAAACATCAATAAGACAGGAAAGAAGCTGAGTTGGCTTTCATTGCTCGAAAGCTAAAAATGCACGATATTATTAATAGGAAAATAAATGGTCATTAGGATTTCTTGGCTGTCGTTAACCAACGTTACGTCTACTCAAAAGAGAGGCAACTGCTCAAACAACTGATTTTTGCTAATGATGCTGCATAGGCGTAGTTAGTTTATTTTAAAGGATAATAAAAATGGATTTAGTGCCTATATGTTCAATCATAATTGTTAGGGGGTACTGTAGCGGATTGCTACCTTAGTAAAGCCTGACCGACTCAGCCCTAAGTAAAGCCTGACTGACTTAGAAATCTCTATGGCAGATTCTCCTGACTCAGAAATCTCTTTGGCAGATTCTCCTACATCTACTAGACCGACTCAGAAATCTCCATGGCAGATTCTCAAACATCTAGCTACCGGCTCAGAAATTTCTATGGCAGATTCTCCAACATCTAGCTAGGAATCAGAAATCTCTATGGCAGATTCTCCAACCTCTAGCTAGAGAACAGCTAAGCTATAGCTCAGCTATAAAGAAAACAGACGTGTAGCACGGAGCGCGTTTATATCTGTGGCAGATTCTCCTACATCTAGCTAGACTCCCAGAACGGCAGATTCTCCAACGTCTAGCTAGACTCCCAGAACCAGGGAGATTCTCCTACATCTAGCTAGACTCCCAGAACCAGCTAAACCATAGCCCAGCTATAAAGGAAACAGACGAGTAGCACGGAGAATTCTCCAACATCTAGCTAGACTCCCAGAACAAGCTAAGCTATCGAACCAGCTAAGCTATAGCCCAGCTATAAAGGAAACAGACCGAAACTAGCTAAGCTATAGCCCAGCTATAAAGGAAACAGACGATAATTCGGAACACGTATATTCAGTCACGTAATGATCAGAAAAGTGTGCACGGAGCACGTTTATTCAGGACGTATCTTGCGGATCAAGTCACGTTTATTCAGGACGTATATTGCGGATCAAGTGTACCCGCTTATTCAGGACGTATATTGCGGATCAAGTGTGTACACACACTTATTCAGTAGTATTGCGGATCAAGTGTGTACACGCAGGGAACTACTCATGATCAGGTTGGGGGTTTAGGTTAAGCAGAGGTTGATGATTGGTTACTGTACGGTAGCTGCGCACAGAGTTGTACGGCCGCACCTCCCAATCCTGGCGAGCAGACATTCAGGCAAACGATGACGCACAAAGAGATAACGTGTCCCACAGTACTAAGCATAACACAAATGAGAATTAAATTAAATATTATGTAAGGCATTAAACTGAATTACAAGTAATGAAAAACCACTTTTACAAAGGAAAAACTAGTCATAATTTTAGTGAAGTCTGAAGATAACTAAGGTGACTAAACATCCAGTTGTATTTGTATTCCATAATTAAATAAATATAGCTATTATTGGTTTTAGAATGTTCGAGTGCTGCGGACATTTTGATGTGTGCCCATTAATTTTAGTTCACTGTATCCCTACTAGTCTGCTAATTAAAGGTCATAAATAACCAGGTGCCCATAAAGAATTAGTGCATATGTTCCATCGCTTCAATGTCATCCACTCTTCGCTAAGTCATCTTCGTAAATGCTATGGGCAGTAGCCATTTAAGGAGAATTGACAGCTACAAATGATCAGCTAATAACAAGTTCACATCTACGTTGCCTTTCTGCAACCTAACTGCGTTCATGTGAGCACATAGTTACTTAAGAAAAAACAAATATTTTATGCCGAGATATGGACGAAAATGCAACTTATGTTTAACAAAGAAATGTTTTATCAATCAGCAAATGAGGACCGCTTTCCGGTCATCATCGTATTGATAGAGCGGTATGAATACCCTGGCATTTTCCACCTATGTACCTAAAGTCCAAGTTGCTTTATTGTGCATCTAAGCACATGATCGGCTTTGCTATCTCAATTCTTATGCTGGCAGTCGGAATTGTAGAATAAAAAAAACACCTTAGCTTTAGTAGTATATAGCAGTAGGATTTAAAAATTTGTACAGTATTTAAGTACATAACAACTTATGGGCGTTTTAAGAAAAAACCGCAACCAAAATGCTCATATTTTCTAAAAATATATGCAACCCCAAAACTCAAAATTAAAAAATATTCTTTTAATTTAGATGATCTGATCAGCATGTTTAACAAAAATATGAAATAAATTAGAAACAAACTCATTTTAATAAATGTTCAATTTATAATTCAAGTTTAGTAAGTTGATTATCATGCAGAGAAGTTCGGAGCAAATTAATTGTTTCAAAATGAAAGATGACTTATTTACTGATGTCAAAGAGTATGCAGACACATTAAACAGGAAGATGCTGTAAAACGAAAAAAAGATAAGACACATTACAGATTTAAAAAATGTAAAATTTATAATGTAAGATACAAACTTGTAACTGCTATTTTATATTGATTTTATAAGGATATTGAAAATGTTTTAAGCAGCTATCTTGAATTTATCTTTAGGTCATCCATATGTGGAAGCGTTAAAATTAACAGTATTTGCTAGCATTTTTATTTTTGCGAATGAATTCGGCTAAGGCCTGTAAGTTCTTGCTGATTCTTACTTTAAAGTGGCTGCAAAGTTAAAGGCCTTTCAGGAGATAAATTATAAGATCGTGCTGGGTATTAGCCCGATCCCCTCCACCAGCGATGTCGTGAATTTGTTGAAATTCTTTCAGTCTTCCTTCTATGGGTAAAATAAATACTTGAAATAATTTTTAGCTTCCTCCGAGATAATCCCGGGTTTAATAGAACTGAGATTAACTCACCTAACTTTGATGAAGAATATAAGAATTCGATGCTTCCTAAGGCATCAATCGAACAAATATATATTATAATTATAAACTTAATTGAGAATGTTGGAAAACTCACCAGCATGACAAGTACGCAATTATTTAAATTGGTTGTATTAATATAACATCGTTACTTCTATCATAGATGTATGCGAACACATACTCCGAACTCTTCATTTGGTTATTTTATTTCTTGATGATGAGCAGATTAAAGGACTTCCACTTTTGCTTTCTACTGCAATTAACTTTTTTCCTCCAGTTGTACATTCCAATATTATTGAGCTTCTATGTACCGTCGTCATTCCTTTAGTCTATGGTAGGAAAAATAATTTTAACATTTTGTTATACTTGTCCAATTTACCGATAAATATTGCCAATTTTTAAATACTCATAGTTAATAATTCTCAGGATTCTTACGCTTTGGATTCTATTCCTTCAATGTTGACAACCGTTTTCCAACATGTCGAAAGTCCAGGTATGTTGAATAATGCTTGCATAAAATTGAGTAATTTGATGGATAATGTTCTAAACACTTTTTTCTCAATTTTTTAGAATGCCATTCGTGGCTCTTGGAAAGTCTTCTAAGCCGGAAAAAAGATCTCTATAAGGTAAATTTATTTCTACTGACTTAAAAGGTAAACTATTTAAAGAGCTTGAATAGAAAAAAACAATTATTTCCCTCTCAGGATTTGTTCACTGTGATTGCCTATGGTTCAACAGAAGCTCGCTTACCTGCAATCTATCTTCTCTTCCACTATTGGCCTGAATTGTGTCCTCCTGCCTTTCAAGGTTTCGAAACACTTAAACCGAAACATTATACATGGGAATGTGAGTCTTGATTGTCCTGCTTCTTTTGTCTTTTCACTCACTCGTAAAAACAATTGCAATGATGAATTTATCCAAAAATAGCTTGGAAACCAGTTACTTGTGAACGTACAGACTGTCCGAACAAAGTTGGCAAAGCTACTGCAATGAAGGTATGTCCTTGTTTGTGCTGAGAAGACATTTATACTGAATTTAGATGACGATGGACCCTCAAGTAGCCGTTAAGCATGGAAGCAAACCCCCTCCTCTCTACGTTTGTCTCGATTGCGCAGATGCTCTTAGTAGGCGTGATGTGGATCAGCTTGTTGATATTCTTCTTCCCAGCAGACAGGTATGATATAATACACGAGGCTTCTGAATCATCCCCCATCTCTATATTTCTAAACTTAATTGCAGATGAGCATGGTATGCGAGTCAAAGACCTGCCGAAGTAAGAACAACACAGCTATTCTTACTTGCTATTCTATTCAATGTGCATTTCTCAATGGAAATCGTCCCATTCGATTCTGTGAGACCTGTCATCTCATTCGCCACAGTTCGCAAGCCCTTGAAAATGCCAAAGATACTCCTCCAATGGAACACGTTTATCAGGTATACTATTGTTCTTCTTATAAATATCTTTATGCAGAATTGATATTGCTTAACTATGCAGCCATACCTTCTTGAAAGGCAATATATTCACTTATTTGGAAAGCTTAAAAATCGATAAGAATATGGACGAGCAAATCATTGAACACCTTTTTATCTTTACCCTTTAAGAATAAAGAGCTGATTCGAGGATTCATAAAAAAGGTGTAAAAATGGGAATGTGGTAACCTTTCTCATTTCTTCTTTAAAATTCAATTTGGTTTGCCCTACCTGTATGATTCATAACTTAGTTCAATGTAGCCTGAATAATTAATTTTATTACCTTTTCTCATCGAGACCAATTTTTTTCTTCTTCTTTATCTTGTTTATTATATTCCTGTATGCACTTTTTCTGAATGCTATTCTATCGTAGATGTGCAGTAAGGTCTTTAATGCGACCTTTTCAACTAATAATTAGTTAAGCATTTGGATTCTCTCCTGGACACCTCAAATCACTAAGGTTTATTCTACCCCTATTCACCGCGTGATGGCTAGCATAAAAATCTTTCATGGTTCACGATGGTTCTTTGAGTTTTTATTTTAATCTCTGAGTGAAAAACATTTTACCACCCAAACTTTTACTATTAAGGCGAATTTGTGAAACAGTGGTGCAGAAATCGAACTGTCAGTTCACCTAATTAGAGATTGAGGTTTCAGCATCTACGGATGTACACACTGTATTCCTTATAATTACCCAATAAAGAGGCCAAAACTCTCCGACATCCGTTTTAATGAGAGACTCTTCTTTTGCTAACAACAGACTCAACCAGTTTTGATAATCAACTAAATTACTCCATGCGTATCCACCAGCTTCGATATCGTGATCCCTAACTTAGCTGACGGATAAGTGCATATAGATGATGATTTTTTCTATTATCTGTAAATTATTCCATGTTTTTCATTCTGAGATGTCCTCTTATTACTCGAAGGAAATACTGGAAAAATTTCTTTTAATTCAGACTCAAATACCTGACATCTGGCTGTGTGGTCTTGACCTCCAACCTATGATGCTAGAGTCAATAGTCACGTTGATTCGAGAGACCCAACCGAGATGGAGGCAACAACTCCTTGGCCTGCCAGATGAACCTGGTGCTGGAGTAGGTCCAGGTCGAAGTGGATCGGGGGTCGATCGAGGTGTCGGTGTAGGTGCTCTGGGTGCGGCGTCGGTCGTAGGACTTGGAGGGGGTCCGGCTGGTCCTGGGGGACCTCCACAACTTTCTGCTGTTGTGTCGGCTCCTCCCACCGACTTCCTCATGTCTGCAGCTAGTGTATCTGGAGTGCTGGGCACCGCGATGATGGGAACTAATCCGTCCCCTTCTATTCAAGGGCTCAATTTGGATGGAATAACAGCAAATGTAAATACTTCCTTTGTTGGATTGGTGTGTTCAGAGTTAATGTTTAAGTCTCTAAATAATTGGCAATATTCGTTATAGAGTCTATGTTCAACCCATCGGTATGTATAAATTCCCAAGAGATGGTGTTATAAAAGTAAGAAAAACAAATTTACAACTGTCTAGAAGTTAGAAGGACTATACTTGAAGAATGAGTAATTAAAGGATTTAATACAATGGTATTAACCCTCTATGGTATAAATAATGAAAATGGGGACATATGTGATAAAGATTATGAGCGAATTATCCTATTTATGAAAGAAGTCCCCGTACATCTTACCTCTAAAGTAGAACATTAAAGACAACATCTCATGGTTTACATTGAGTCCCGTTATAAAATTAATAATATTGATACCAAAATGTGATAAAGAACAGTTCCTCCAGCATCTTCTAAGCCCGCTTTAGAAAATCTGGTTTCCTTTTAGGTGAGAAAGTCGCTTCCACCACCTCTTTGTTGACCTAACTCTTGTTTGTGTACATTGTACTCACCAAATCGGTAATCTCTGAATGGATACGATGATCATTAACCCCGTCGGGAATTTCCACAATGTACTTTGTCATAAATTGGGAACTATTTGTTAAGAGAACGAAGTAAATCACACTCAAGTAAAAGGGAAATTCAAGGGCGTGGGAAAGTGTTCTTGATTAGTTAATAAAAAAATTGGATTGGCTATGAAATTCGGCCACTCCCACCATTCTTTCTACCTATTTTCTGAAGACAGGAGTAGAATAAGCTAGATAGTTGGAGCAATTCCTCAGTTTAGACTGTTGACAGTTATCTAATCTGACTGCCGAGTGAGATGGATGAATTAATGTTTCTAGAAAGAAGGAACGCTACAGAATAAGTCGACTTTTCAAATATCTGGAAGATTCATTGTGGGACCTAATGGTGAACCGGAACTCACTTTGGAAGGTCGTTACGATGACGAAGACCACAAAATCCTCGCTGTCTATGGTGCTATGTTGGCAGGCGAAAAATGCAGACCCGGTGAGAAGACTAATTTGGTATGTTTTAGGCAAATTTCCCGCCAATATTCCCATCAAATTTGATACTTAATAGTCTATTCTTTCGGAATTCAAACAGGACATTTTAACCCGAATTACTGCTGGTATATTCAATTGGTTTTTGGATACTGCATACACCAATGAAGGTAAGTAATTCGAAGTTTACACAATTACATATACGTTTCAAGTCTGCTTTTCTATTTCAAATGCTACTTTCATTGATCTATTAGCTACAATTTACTACCAGGCCTATCCACCTCCAAAATCTCACAGTAAATTGCTATTCCACACCACCCTTGTCAGTAAAAATCGTTGAATGTTGCTTAGTCGCTTAAATGTACCCTCGCTTAAGTCGCTTTCAATTTCGTTCATATATATCTCTAGTCATCGCGCTTTTGTCGAAATTTTTCAGCTGCTCCAAATTAAACATTTTCTGGTAATTGGAGAGTGTTAACTTGGAAAAAAGGAGTTATTTTTTTGTTAATCCCTTACGCGCATTCACTCAAATCCACACACATTGTATAAAAATGCGCGAGCAAAATTCCGCTTAAAACGTCCATTTATTTGCCCAGAGAACAACATTCGCGCATGCTGACAGCACCGCAAGGTCATGGAGACAAATCCTATTGGCTTATATTTTCCTACCTTTTAGATGAACTAGGTGAACTGATCGAACGTCTGAAGAGTGAGGTGAGCTTTATTTCCATAAGTAGAAGTCGGTTTGTTTAATATTTAGTGTAATACACAGCTTTCAACAAAGTACTCAAGATGCCACGGTTTAAAAAACACGTTTTTGTAATCTAATAATGTTGTGTCTCTAGTATATGCTGAAATGGATCCAGGAGGTTCAACACACTCATCCAGAAGTTGTCCTCGCGGTTCTTTTGCCTCATCCTGTTGAGGTTGCGCGCGTTGGTAGTTGTTGGTAAGTGGAAGTGTTCAACGTTGGTAGTTGGGTGAGAGTTTGCCTAATTCTTTAATGCCAGAACTAATGCAATAATGAAAATACGTTATTGAGAAAGAAATTAACCTAATACCTTTGAATACAGTGATCGCACATCTCATTTTTGCTTTGGACAAAACATTAACTTTGCTCATTCGACTTTATTAACAAACATAAAAGTCCTTTCTCTATAACATTAGACCTTGCATAATCGCTTTCAGTTTGTTTTCCATTTTTTTGCCTGTGTTTAAAGCTGAAATATTTCCAGTATTTAGGTGCGTTCAATTTATATACATACGTACACACACACACACACACACATATATATATATATATATATCTATTTGAATTAACAGGGACACAATATGTGGAAAAACCTCGATAGTTAAACAAGGTCTAAGTCGAGTCAGCAGTCTCATTCCTTACGATGTGATGACTTTTGAGGTAAGCAAATTTTGTTTCTAAAATAGATGTGTTCTCTCTTTTAAATACAGTGTGTTCTTCCCCTTTTATCTTGTCTTAGACTTGGGATTATATCATTCCCTACTGGTTGGAATCAATCCGCACTGAAGTCAAACCAGACGACTATCGTGAACTGGAAATACTACTCAAGTATATAAATGTTTTTTTTTCATGGGAATTAAAAATAGCCTTGAAAACTAACTACTTATTCTATTTTTAGGAAAGTATTTGACGCCACGGCTGGGCCTTTCCCGTTCCTGCCTGCCAAAGTTTATCATTTCGCCAGTGAGCGGTTTGTTGATGCTACTGCTCCCGTTCAGGATCAAGTTCTTTCCTGGTTGGAGGTAATTTTCCAGATTATTGATGATAGTTGTATTACTGTGATAACTCTGTAACTTACTTTCTCAAGTGATCATCGCTTTGGAGATCAGTAATGGTCAAGGCAAATAGTGGGTTATTAAAGAGTTTCCTTTCTTTGTCTCAGATTCTGACAACCGTCGAAGTTGCGATTCCAATGAAAGAGCTCTTTACTATGTTTCGTAGTGGTGTAGCCGCCTTCCTAAAAGCCGGAGTACTCACAGATACGGTACGTATGGAGGAACATAAGGCTCTGCCTGCATCCACGACCAATCGATCCTCCTCTGGATGGTTCCTCGATGAATGTGATTTGGAGAATTTTGGTCTCTCTGATGATGATGGAAGTTATGCTTCTGATGAGGAGGGTGATGATGATGGCATTGACAGCGATAACGGAAATTCTCTTGATGAAATGGATGAGGAGGATGTTGAAGAAATTGAAGAGGAAGATATTGATGAAGGTAGATAAGAAATATTTGTTAATCTTTCCCCGCGTTAATTTTTGATGATGGATTGGTCTATGAGATAGAAGTGTAGTTTGAGCAATCTGGATTTTTCTATAAAATAGGTGTTTACGTGCCCATTTCAACATATGGGGTCCTACTCCTGTATTTACTATGCTAACACTTACTGAGGGTAAACTTTACCTCCTTCTATCATATTTTCTCTAATGTTAGTATTTTTCTTCTCATTCCCCCCCCCCCCCCCCCCACCTTAGAAACAGAAATGATGATCAGGTCGATTATTTCTTGCTACGAGGTGTCAATTATAGGGTGCGATAGATAGCCGACAGAACTCAGTATTTAGCTACTGTACCAATTGTTTTTTAAATGCATACCCTTGCAAGAATGTGGATATAGACGTTAGTGTGTGTGTATGAAGAAGTTCGAAAAATCTTGTTTTCATCACCTAGGTGATATGTGGAATCTTTATTCCTTGACAAAATCATCAGCTGAATATGCTCACCATAGGCGCTACTTGAGAGTTTAACTTTACATAGTGGTGTCTTTCACCTAAAACTCTTTGACTAATGGTTTTCGAAGCAACTTTTGCATTGGTATTACCAATGTATGTATGTTTTGGGTAGTCTTTTTTCTTATGGGGTATTTTCTTTGTCACTTAAAGTGTATCGAATTTAACAGATAAAAGTAAAATGAAATTCTACTTATTGATTCTTGCGGGACAGATTATAGGCATTCTGTTCAAAAGATACGTCATTTTATTTGCTCATCGCTGATTACGGATCATCTGACGGTCCTTAAATCTATACGGTGAACATGCTCAATTCCTATTAATCTTATTTAAGGTAAGTAATTTATCGGATTTTGACACCCACTAACCCATAAAGGCATTGCCATATCAAATGAAGAAATCTCTCGATATCGCTGATTAAGAATTCGGTTAACTGGTTTTAATCAGTTCAGACGGTCAGTTATTCAGTAAGCATTTTCAACTTATGACTTCCTATTTTGCAGATACCTCTGACAATGGTACCCTCAACCGCGGTATGCCTCAGGAAGTCGGCAATGATTCCGATGATTTTGAAGCTATTAGAACGAGTGCTGCGGATGCTGACGAATCTAGTGAGCTCTTATTACCCGGCTCAAAATCTACCGCAGGTATTACCACGGAGAAAAGTAGAAGGAAATCTTCCACATCTACTGGGCTACCACGCGACTCCATTCGCTTCTTCCTCGGTGAGAAACGTGGAATGCGGGAGACAAGTCGAGATGTCCGGGACGAATTATCAGCTCTTTCAGAAGGCGTCAAGCGAAACATATTAACTAAACGGCTTTCTTCTGGCAGTCTTTTGAAAAATACCCGAAAGGCAAATGTTAAGAGACAATCACGCCGGTCCTCAGTGCTTAAAAATCGCTCCCAGAAAATACGTTCTGCAGCCGCAACTTGGGAAAATAAGGAGACTGTGGTTTATCGATCTACCAAATGTCTTGGGCAGATGCTGAATTTAGTCTTGAAACAGGTATGCTATAGTAGAACTACGCATTAGTCATCTCTCATACATCCGTATTGATGAATTTTTATGGTCATTAGCTCAAGATTAGTGATCCTTTTGGGCATGGTGGGTTCACTCAAGAGACGCCTCAGTTGGTTCTCTCCCTCCTGAGTGATATGCTGAATCTCACCTGGATGCCAACGGCTCTTCGAAACCATTTAGACGCGGATACCAGACGTTTCAAGCACCACCTATGTCGTCCGAATTCGGGACCGAGTACAAAAACCATTAGTAGTGGTGGTGGTGAAGTTGTCTGTTTGGGCCACTGTACAGCTCCCTCGCCTATTAACAGTCAACAAAATGGCCCTAATGGGCCTTCAAATAGGGGATCAATTGGAACCAATGGAAACAGTTTATCAAGTAGTAATCTAGCTGCTCTCCTCTCCGCAACTCAATCAGGTGCAGCGGCGATGGCTGCTGTTATGCCGGTTGTCATAGGAGAAGAGGACTTTTGTGCTTATTGTCAGGATGTTTGCTGGTGGTTTGAGCTGGCTAGTCTACTATGTTATCATCTAGCTCCGGCTTCACCACCGGCTCTGCCAAGATTGGAACTTTCTGTCTCAGCTATAAGTTCTTTTCTGACAAAACCTGGTGAGTGGTATTCTGATCCCTTCCTATATAATTAGGCTATTTAATTTGAATCATTTTTTAATTGCTTATGCCTTCTGTGAAAGGCGCACAATTTCTTTTAGTTGGGACTTATGGTGTCTAGTCTCAGGAAAAAAAGATAAACAGAACAATTTCTAATTTTCTCTCTGCTTTATTTTAACAAGTTAATTAATTTTGTGCCAGATTATGGATAAGAACAAAATGAAATAAATTTTGATTTATGCTTACGTGCATATACTAGATTGATGGCTTTTCCCTTTCGACCTTCCAATATTTCGTCTACATGACCTCAGATTGACGCTTTGCTACAGGAGGTTAATGTGAACTATTTTCATTGGCTATTAACGTCGAGGCTATTTGAACATAGACGTGTTTTAGGGTATTACCAAACCTTTCTTACTTACATATTAATTGTTAATAATCAAGTTTGTCTCACAAGATTTTTTTGATGCCCATCTTAGATACTGAGGGACATCGGCAGGCCTTCCTGATGAGAGGCTTGACTACTGCTAATCGCCATACCAACTAGTCTTAATCAGTATAGATAATCACTCCTCTCTCTCTGGCCACTCGAACCCATTATCTCTGGCGTAGGAGCTGGATGTAGTGACCAGTACACTGTCAACGTTTATTATAGACCTTTGGTTCTCCAATTACCTCTTTCAAAATCTACTAGATCATTATTACCCTATCATTCTGAAAGTGGTGAAACGAGAGAAAAGCTGAAAATGTTGTTTTTTTATATTACTAATTCGTAAATATTTTAATAATTGAAGGCATAATGTTAAAAATCGCTCTAATTAAGAGCGGTAAACAAGAAGATTTTCTGTACTATCTAAAGGTAAACGCTAATTTGCGCGCCTTCAAAGCCTTGAAGAAACCACCGGTATCTGAAAAAAATACTCACCAACCTTTGCATTGGCCTTGGTAGTAGTGAGGGATGTCAAATTAGAATAACTTGGATTGATTTTGAAATTGGTTAAAGTAAGAAAAAAGGGATAGGAAAGTGTTTCCTACGAAGGAGATTTGTCTTATTAACACACGTCGCTAATCTCTATGGGGTCACTTTTTAAGTGTTGGGTGGATTAGTGAAGAAAAGGGTGCGAAAAAATGTATTGTCTAACTTGTACTTTTTTCGGGAGCTTTATGTGTAGATAATTTAAGAATATGTGGTCACTAAGCTCACTCGAAGTTATATGCTCAGGTGCAAAATACATTGTAAGAAAAATAAGGCGAATAATTAGTGTATAATCATAATTCTTTCAGATTATCCTAAGTGGTGCACTGGTTTGGCTGCGAACGACACGAACCGTCGATTAGATGAAAAATCTCAGTCAAAAGTAGTCATAGACCCCAACTCTACTGAACCTTCCGAAGCCGATCTCCTCAGCTTTCCACCAACACTTCGATTCATCTACCAACTTCTTCGATGTCTTATGGGAAAGCCCGGTTGTGCAGGCGTCTCTTATGTCCTTCATCCACACTCAAATTCAATGCCCACTAATTCGAAGGAGGCGACGAATAAGGACAATGAATCTTCGTATGAAGGTCGCACACCACGTGATCCTGTGATTCTTCGTCATCTCTTAGAGTGTCTAAATTGCCTAGTACGAGTGGGAAATGCCCTTCAAAATATTCTCAATGCGGCGGCACGTGCTGCAGAAATGGCAGCCGCAGTGAATGCGTCGACTACCGGACAATCTGCTGCATTGGCGCCTCGAATTCCTCGACCTGGTGGACACGCTGGACCGTCGGGAGGAACAGCAGGTTCTGCTAGTACAAACACTGTGGCTTCGCTGGCAATTCAAGCCTCATTTGTACTTTATTTGGTTGAATATTGTCTTATTCCTACGTGAGTTCTCAAAACTTATCGACGAGATGTTTTCGTGAACTGTTGTAATGCAGGATGTCTAGTTTTCCTGCTTTGATATATTTACTCACTGTCTATAATTAGGTTAAGGTGAACTGATGACATTTCCTCTCCGGAATATTTGTCCAGCTGTTAGGATTGGTTTGCTTCCATCTATTGATAGGGTAGTTGGATGACCATCTTCTGAAATTGCCTTTCGTCTTGAGTCTTGTTTATTGGCATCCTTTTATTCATTTAAAGCAAATTAATCAAATTTTCAACGAGCTTTTTAGTTGTGAACCTGACAGATTGTTCCAGCCAAGTATCTAAAGCTTGGAATAAATCTATCCTTGCATATTCAGCCAGCATTTAGCCATATACCACCTTCTGCTTCTTATTAGGCACTCATCTTCTGAGATATTTGACTTTTTTATCTCAATAAGTCCAATCCAAAATAAATCTCTGATTTCTTGCAGAAACTCTGCTTTGAATGCAAATTTAAGTTCACAAAAGGCTTTACTTACAAGATTAGTTTAATGTGCATTTTGCGGTACAAAAAGCTCTCCAAACAGATGAAAAATCGATTTCATTAATTTTAACTAGATGACATTCGTGCTAATTAACGCTAACGATTGTTTAAACAAATATTTTAATTTCATTTAACGTTACCATGCAACAAAAGCCCATATTGAAACTATTTTATTAATTTATGCGCATACCTATTGGGTAAATGGAAGTATTGATTTCCGATAGATGATTTATTATCTCTCTCTCATCATAAAATTTTATCTTTTCTACATTAGGTGGTCGCTTATTCATTAGACTTTTTAATGGATTTAAATTAAATATAAAAATTTCTTTTTACTTAACTATTGCAAGATAATTGTAATGAGAATAGTGCCTCATATTAAATATTTTTCTAAATTAACCAATTGTGTTGTTTTTAGATTATGGAATCTTTTGACAGCCGACTATACTCATCTCTCCAGCTGGGTAGTGCCTCTTCTCATTCAGGCCATTACTGTTCCGGGGATGGCTCTAGTCTTCTGGCGTCTGGTGGATCATGAATGCAGCCACGTTGATTGGAAAGTTCGCTTTGATGCAATGGAAAAGATCTATTGCCTCCTTCGCCAGCTAGATGTTGCAGTAGTGTCTGGATTCTACAATGGCCCTGCTTCGAAGGGATTATCAATTGGACGCCCAGCGACTGCTTCAACAGTCAGTAGTGGGGGTGGTGGTCAGAGTGGCGTTGGAGGGTTGGCAGCACGAGCCGGCAGACGTGTTGGCGCTTTTCGTGGCCAGAATGCAAATGCGGCTGCAGTGTTGAGTGCTTCTGGAAACTATGGAGGTCATCTTCTTTGGGAATGTGGTGATGGGAGAGGTGGAGTTGGTGGTGCTATGGGTCCCCTTCATCCTTTTGTACTAAATGCGATTGCTCACTTGACCTCTCGACTAATTGGTTCACTAGATGACTACAGTTCTGTTGTTGCTCAAAGAAGCTCGTATCATTTAAATGGGCTGGATGATAACGCATTAAGCGTGAGGGTTAAATTATGCTTTTTTGAAACCCATTGTTCAGAGTATAACACCATTTTTCGTTAAATTTAAGTGCTGTATCCAATGTATGGAATACCACTTCGATACCATAGCCGCTGATAGAACTCTAATTTTGCAACGAATGCAACAGTTGAGCGTTGCTCTACCCAACCGGCAAATATTCACATGGGGCTTCTTCATTGATCGTTTTGGGATCCTCTCAATCGGTGCACAAATTTCTGGCAAAAATAACCCAGACATCGATTCAGGTTGTTGCTTATTCTGATACCAGACTTGTTACTGATACATATTCAGTAGAAATCGTTGAATGACTTTCAACATCTAATCACTTTAAACGTCGCGGTTCGCCGTTGTTTAACTTTTTTGAACAACATCAAAATGTTTCGGTTTCTTTAATAGTGGGCTGAATTGAAGTACCCAATGTGCCAGATTTGCTAAAATATTTCCAATATTGCTTAGAGCAAAAGAGAACATGTCGTATTTATTCAAATTAGTGGCAGTATGCAATTTTTCTCTTGTTGGATCTATTCTTTCCATGACCAAAAGTGCAGAAAAGGAAAGCTTAATATTTCAAATGATTATAATCTTATTAGTGCCTAATTTTCAGAACTCAAAGTGAAACATTCTGCATTTTGGTGTATTTGAATGAAAACTTGTAAATGTGAATTTGCTTTGTTTTCGAACCAGCTATATTGGATTTAAACTTATAATCCCATCTAAAATTACTCAAATATTCTTAATAAAGCTACAGTTCTATAGTCATCTACTTAATGATATTCAGTTGTCACAGAGCCTCTGATGAGAGCCTCTATGAGTTGGAGAAAAATAATTCTACAATTAGAAGTTATTTTTAATAAAAAATGGAAGAAAAAATTTAACAAAATGTCATAAAAACGCCAAGGTTCAATTGTGCATTTTCTTATTTTTCTCTTTGACAAAATATGAATTGGTAGCTATATAATGATTGGACGCCTACTCACACATTAATAAGTATTGTGACTTAAATATTAGCCATATCTTAGTTACCTTAGTTACTTAGCTAAATTTGCAAGTGGAATTTCCAAATTTTTCTTTCATAACTCATCTCAGTCCATCTGGTTACTTTTAGAGGGACTTAACACGCAACCATTAATTTTTTTCACACTAACTCCAATTTTCGCAAATTGACCGCAACAATATATCTTCATTTATTAACCGCTAAATTGTAGTAACCGACCTCAATAATATGAACAAACGTGGAGATGTCTTCCAGCAGCAATTTAATCGAGCTGTTTTTGCTGCCTCTGGAGTTGGAATGTTGCCGTCTCTTACTAGTTCCCCAAAGTGCTTTCATGCTGAAGAGAGGGACAAGGAGAACAAAGCTGTTGAATCAAAACCACTTCCAAAAGTGGTCTTCAAATATGCCGAGGATCATGATTCAGGTCATGCGTCTTCTCCACCTGGAGGTTGGTGGAATATTTATCAATTGGTCATTTGTGGATTTTGAAGTGGTATTCGTTTATATATTTTTTCATTTGCGTCGTTTCCTTCTAATTGCATCGCTTTTTAGATTGATGAGTCTGCTGAAATAATTTTAATTTTGACTAAAATCTTCTAAATTTAACTCATTGGCATTGATTGATGTTCTAGAATCAAACATGAAATTCCATAGGTCAATTATAAAGTTAGCTCACTTTACGTGCATCAGATTTTGATCTGTTGGATCATTGCTGAAAGTTAGTCTACGAAGATTTTGACTCCAAAAATTTTGATTTCCATTTTTTACATAAGAATAAGGCCAACATGGGCCCGACCAATTAGGGTGTATTCAATTTTTTAATGATCATAAGTGAGATGAATTCTCAATCTGATGGCAATGGTCAATCTCTGCTCCGCAAGAATTAAAGTTGGGTTCACTGGGGGCGCGAGAAGAGTTGCTCCGTAGTTACCAATCTGATAATACCCAAATATAATGGAAAGAAGAAGAAAAAAAGATAATTCTCGTTTGCACGTAACTTTTGGCGTTTATATAGGTATTACGGAATTCTTCCTATCTTTAGGTGAGGCGATATTTGTTCAACTAATGTGAATCGTAGCTAAAAGTTCAATAGTTTGCTGAAAATTTCCTCCTGATATCTTGGGTGATGTGCTACAGTGATTGAATACGGGTGAATTACTGTAGTCTATTCCAGAATAGAGGTAATAACTCTAAAATTGGCGCCGAAGACTGTAACTCTGTCCACTATTATTAAATTTATCTTTTTTCCCACTTTGCTTTGGTATACTAAAATTACTATAAGCCATTGATATCGACTGTAATGACCAAAATGATTGTGCTTAATAAAACAATGATTTATTATCGTAAGCATATTTAAGTACAATTAGATTCACGAGGACACCACGTACTCCATAATTTCTAAGAGATGGTTTGACTAAGATAACGGTTTATGGTATAATAACTCGCCTTTGCTTTATAGTTATATGCAAACATCCAGGATATATTCGTAACACCAACTCCTTTAAAACCATTTGAGCCTTCCAGCAACAACTGCTTTTAATTGTGTTGCTCAAATATAAATGTGTTATTGGTTTGTTGGAGTGGTTTTGGGGGAGATTATTAAGAGGTGCTGTTTTCGGCATGCTGATGGTTATTAATGGCACTCATTAAAGTCACCGCGAAGTAGATCTATTGCGATTAAACAGCAATGGCAGTGCTTTGTCCACCACTCAACTGCCTAATTAAACCATTTCGATCCATTAATGATGACATTGATTAATGCAAATTTAGATGGGCACTTTTGTTGTTCTTTTCAACTATTTACTTTTATGCTTTCACCTATCTTTTTGTTGTCTTCAAACTTCATGCGCTTACTTGTTTCAGGCTTAGGAAGTTATGGTTTTTTTTGATGCAAGAAAGCCTGAATTTGTTCTAGGCTTAAAGACAGTGGTTATTTCTCAAGACTATTTTGAAAGGTCTCAATTTCACATGGAATTTTATTTTTCATCAGAGAAAATCCGCTTAATTAAAAGTTTTTTTTCTCTTCATTATTCTACTCATTTATGCCTCAGATTTATAAAAATGTTGGCTATAATTTGCTTCGGTTTCATGGCACTTTGCTAGCCCTAAGAGTATGAACATTAAAAATTTTGTCAGTAAGCTCTTTAAGCCACTTCCATATATGATGGAAGTAAGGAATGGAGGAATCATTGTACGTCATCTTCCTTCGAAATTCGTCGGCGAAGAAGTTTCCGTTCTCATTCGCGGTTTTGCTACTCCCTGAACATTCGCTGTCCATTTATTCCAAATCGCTCAAATTTCATTAAGCCTCCTTATTAATACTGTTATTATTTCTTTAAATGATGAAGAATCGGTTGGAACTGAAACTGCTACGTTATATCTGTGCAATTTATCGGTTTTCTTGAAAAAAATATTTTGGATTTTTTTAGAAACTCATCATGTACTTGGTGAAAATCGTCGATCAAGACCATCCGTGATAAAACTTACAGGCTTCTTTCCTGGTAAGCTATTGTATATGGCTTCTAATTGCACACTAACGTTTTCCTATCGATGCGTATATATACGTATATCCAAATATAGTTCATATTCTTTCCAAAGTGTTCTAACGTGTTCGTATAGTTCAGATTACTTTTTAAGTATCTGTGGACACTAACACTCGATTAACAAATCTTTGGAAGTCCAAAGTCTGTGCGACAAGACACCGAATAACATCTCTATGTTTTGGGAAAAAGAGCTGACTACACAGGTAGTTTCTTATTTGAATTGCGTGCAGTTTTGCCTTTTCTCTCTCTCTTCCGTTGCGTGTATGACACAACGTCTGCTTAGTAGTATCTAGTGCACATCTAGCCTTTTTTGTAGAAGCAGCTATCGTATTTGCTAGGCCCTACAAAAAGGCAATTTTGTTTTGTGAAGTTAATTTTTTTCAAAAAAGAGGTAGAGACTCAACCGAAATGGCTTCCAAGGCCTTCACTGTGTTCGCGCACCTCTGGTGACTTTTCTGACTTATCAATCAACATGTCTATATCTTACTTATTAAATAACTCACAGAACCATCGCAGAAACATCGAATTTCACCCCACTTATTATCTAATGACTAAAACCATTTTTCCCGGAACTCTGTTGATTTTTCGGCGATTATTGTGCACTTTTCCTTAATTAAAGAGTATTGTAGTTTAAAGCCATACAGTTATGGAGGACGAGGGCTTATACGGACGAAAAAATTAAAAAAATGCAAGTTTAAATTTATCGGCAAAAAATTAAAGGGTTAGGTAACGCTCACTAAAGATTTATTTATTTATCTCAAAATAGCAGGCGTTTTGATGGTTGTCATTAGCCCTTTATCTGACTTCGGGCTTCATAGAGAGGAGGAGGAACATCAAAGTGACAAAAAGTCGAGAGGGGGGACAGAATAATGATTCACACACGTAAAAGAGACAGACAGTCACAAATGAAGAGAAAGAATACGATGAGTACTATGAAGGGGCCGAAATGACAAACAGTCGGGTCTTAGTAGTTGGAAGTCAGAAGTCAACTGCCGATTTATAGACTTTTTTGCC